GGGGCAGTGATAGTCATGCTATGTAGGGGCAGTTATAGCCATGCTAACTATATAGGGGCAGTGATAACCATGCTAACTATGTAGGGGCAGTGCTATACATGCTAACTATGTAGGGGCAGTGATAGCCATGCTAACTGTGTAGGGGCAGTGCTATACATGCTAACTATGTAGGGGCAGTGAGAGCCATGCTAACTGTGTAGGGGCAGTGCTATACATGCTAACTATGTAGAGGCAGTGATAGCCATGCTAACTATGTATGGGCAGTGCTACACCTGCTAACTATGTAGGGGCAGTGATAGCCATGCTAACTGTGTAGGGGCAGTGCTATACATGCTAACTATGTAGGGGCAGTGATAGCCATGCTAACTGTGTAGGGGCAGTGCTACACCTGCTAACTATGTAGGGGCAGTGATAGCCATGCTAACTATGTAGGGGCATGGATAGCCATGCTAACTGTGTTGGGGCAGTGCTATACATGCTAACTATGTAGGGGCAGTGATAGCCATGCTAACTGTGTAGGGGCAGTGCTATACATGCTAACTATGTAGGGGCAGTGATAGCCATGCTAACTATGTAGGGGCATGGATAGCCATGCTAACTGTGTTGGGGCAGTGCTATACATGCTAACTATGTAGGGGCAGTGATAGCCATGCTAACTGTGTAGGGGCAGTGCTATACATGCTAACTATGTAGGGGCAGTGACAGCCATGCTAACTGTGTAGGGGCAGTGCTATACATGCTAACTATGTAGGAGCAGTGATAGCCATGCTAACTGTGTAGGGGCAGTGCTATACATGCTAACTATGTAGGGGCAGTGATAGCCATGCTAACTGTAGGGGCAGTGCTATACATGCTAACTATGTAAGGGCAGTGACAGCCATGCTAACTGTATAGGGGCAGTGCTATACATGCTAACTATGTAGGGGCAGTGATAGCCATGCTAACTATGTAGGGGCAGTTATAGCCATGCTAACTATGTAGGGGCAGTGATAGCCATGCTAACTATGTAGGGGCAGTGACAGTCATCTTATGTAGGGGCAGTTATAGCCATGCTAACTATGTGGGGGCAGTGATAGTCATGCTATGTAGGGGCAGTTATAGCCATGTTAACTATATAGGGGCAGTGATAGCCACGCTAACTATGTAGGGGCAGTGCTAGACATGCTAACTGTGTAGGGGCAGTGATAGCCATGCTAACTATGTAGGGGCAGTGCTATGCATGCTAACTGTGTAGAGGCAGTGATAGCCATGCTAACTATGTAGGGGCAGTGCTAGAAATGCTAACTATGTAGGGGCAGTGCTATACATGCTAACTGTGTAGGGGCAGTGATAGCCATGCTAACTGTGTAGGGGCAGTGCTATACATGCTAACTATGTAGGGGCAGTGCTATGCATGCTAACTGTGTAGAGGCAGTGATAGCCATGCTAACTATGTAGGGGCAGTGATAGCCATGCTAACTATGTATGGGCAGTGATAGCCATGCTAACTATGTAGGGGCAGTGATAGCCATGCTAACTGTGTAGGGGCAGTGCTATACATGCTAACTATGTAAGGGCAGTGATAGCCATGCTAACTGTCTAGGGGCAGTGCTATACATGCTAACTATGTAGGGGCAGTGACAACCATGCTAACTGTGTAGGGGCAGTGCTATACATGCTAACTATGTAGGAGCAGTGATAGCCATGTTAACTGTGTAGGCAGGGGCAGTGCTATACATGCTAACTATGTAGGGGCAGTGATAGCCATGCTAACTGTGTAGGGGCAGTGCTATACATGCTAACTATGTAGGGGCAGTGATAGCCATGCTAACTATGTAGGGGCACTGCTAGAAATGCTAACTAGGTAGGGGCAGTGCTATACATGCTAACTGTGTAGGGGCAGTGATAGCCATGCTAACTGTGTAGGGGCAGTGCTATACATGCTAACTATGTAGGGGCAATGCTATGCATGCTAACTGTGTAGAGGCAGTGATAGCCATGCTAACTATGTAGGGGCAGTGCTAGAAATGCTAACTATGTAGGGGCAGTGCTATACATGCTAACTGTGTAGGGGCAGTGATAGCCATGCTAACTGTGTAGGGGCAGTGCTATACATGCTAACTATGTAGGGGCAGTGCTATGCATGCTAGCTGTGTAGAGGCAGTGATAGCCATGCTAACTATGTAGGGGCAGTGATAGCCATGCTAACTATGTATGGGCAGTGATAGCCATGCTAACTATGTAGGGGCAGTGATAGCCATGCTAACTGTGTAGGGGCAGTGCTATACATGCTAACTATGTAAGGGCAGTGATAGCCATGCTAACTGTCTAGGGGCAGTGCTATACATGCTAACTATGTAGGGGCAGTGACAACCATGCTAACTGTGTAGGGGCAGTGCTATACATGCTAACTATGTAGGAGCAGTGATAGCCATGTTAACTGTGTAGGCAGGGGCAGTGCTATACATGCTAACTATGTAGGGGCAGTGATAGCCATGCTAACTGTGTAGGAGCAGTGCTATACATGCTAACTATGTAGGGGCAGTGATAGCCATGCTAACTATGTAGGGGCAGTGATACACATGCTATTAAGGAGCAGTTATAGCCATGCTAACTATGTAGGGGCAGTGATAGCCATGCTAACTATGTAGGGGCACTGATAGTCATCTTATGTAGGGGCAGGTATAGCCATGCTAACTATGTAAGGGCAGTGATAGCCATGCTAACTATGTAGGGGCAGTTATAGCCATGCTAACTATGTAGGGGCAGTGATAGCCATGCTAACTATGTAGGGGCAGTGATAGTCATGCTATGTAGGGGCAGGTATAGCCATGCTAACTATATAGGGGCAGTGATAGCCATGCTAACTATGTAGGGGCAGTGATAGCCATGCTAACTATGTAGGGGCACTGGTAGAAATGCTAACTATGTAGGGGCAGTGCTATACATGCTAACTGTGTAGGGGCAGCGATAGCCATGCTAACTGTGTAGGGGCAGTGCTATACATGCTGACTGTGTAGGGGCAGTGATAGCCATGCTAACTGTGTAGGGGCAGTGCTATACATGCTAATTATGTAGGGGCAGTGATAGCCATGCTAACTGTGTAGGGGCAGTGCTATACATGCTAACTATGTAGTTGCAGTGATAGCCATGCTAACTATGTAGGGGCAGTTATAGCCATGCTAACTATGTAGGGGCAGGGATAGCCATGCTAACTATATTGGGGCAGTGATAGCCATGCTAACTATGTAGGGGCAATGATAGCCATGCTAACTATGTAGGGGCAGTGTCAGCCATGCTAACTGTGTAGGGGCAGTTATAGCCATGCTTACTATGTAGGGGCAGTGATAGCCATGCTGACTATGTAGGGGCAGTCATAGCCATACTAACTATTTAGGGGCAGTGCTAGACATGCTAACTATGTAGGGGCAGTGATGGCAATGCTAACTATGTAGGGGCAGTGATAGCCATGCTAACTATGAAGGGCAGTGATAGCCATGCTGACTATGAAGGGCAGTGATAGCCATGCTGACTATGTAGGGGCAGTCATAAGTAGAAATCAGAGATTGTATTTAATAGTCCGGATCACTGGGGATTTAGAAGTGGCTATAGCCGTATACCCTGGACTACGCCTCTGGGTTTGATTTGGAAACATAGACCAGTTTGACACAGAGTGGGATTTCATTACAATTATTAATCCTAAAATAAATAAATAAGTCAACTTTTATATAAGAAAGACTAAAGTATGTGGAAAATAATAATAAACTTTTGGAGATGGCAGCTGTCCGTGTTGGAGGTGAAGTCCATGGTGTAGAGGGTGAAGAGGAACGGAGACAGAACGGTGCCCTGAGGGGACACGGTACTGCAGACTGCCACCTCAGACTGACAGACGTGCAGCTGCACGTACTGAGGGCGTTCGTTGAGGTAGTTGATGCTCCAGGCAGCCAGATGTCTGTCCACTCCACTGTCCTCCATCTTCCCCCTCAGCAGCTCTGGTCTGATGGTGTTGAAACACTGGAAAAGTCCAAGAACATGTCTCTCACTGTGCTCCCAGTGGTCTTCAGGTCGGGGAGCCCCTGCTGAAGCAGGTAGACGATGGCATCCTCCACTCCAATAATGGGTTAGTTAGCAAACTGCAGCTTTGGTTCGATGTTTCTTCGCTGTCTGAGCAGCTGGGCTGTAATCTTTCCTCATGAAAATTTTCTTTTCTCTTGCCGTCATCTACAACTGAAACTGTTTTCCCCCAGGATGTGAAGCTTGATGCTCCAGCAGACGTCATTCAGACGATGGTTTTTAGGCTAAACCTGTTCGGTCCGTCATAGACTGGATTTAGTCCAGAAATCATTGTTGAACACTGGGCTGTGATTGGTCCCTTTGATTTTGTCCCTCTTTAGTCCAATAACAGATGTTTCAAACCCAGTTTTCAACGTCTTTTTAACGATATGAAAGTTATAGTTTTTCACTTTTCAACCAAATGAAGATGTCGTTTGGACGTAAATAACTTCATTTCATGTTTTTTCAAAAAAGTTTTGCTCGGTGGGTGTGCTCCACTTCCACTGACTGCTGTGACTGACTCACTCACTAACGCCGTCTGTAGCCTTGTGTTGCAGTTACCGTAGCGACGTGGTTGCCACTTCTTTTCAGTAGATAGTCGAACTTCTCTTCGCTCTTTAAATATAAAACACCTCACGGTGTAGGGGGAGATTCAGATCATTGTCCTAAACTCAGTTTCACTGTCATTTATTTTTAGTTTATATCATAATTGAGGCGAAATATGAATAAAAAATATGGAGGACATGATCTCAATGGTAGTTAGAGCCCTGTTCTGACTCAGGATTGCTCCAGTGGCCAGCTTGTTGATGCCCTTGTTGGCTTTAGATACATCTCTCTGTAGCACCATCCTTTGACCTTTCTTTCTAAAATAATTAGACACTCTATTTATGCAGAAAAGCCTTTGAAATTAGTGTTGTAAACTTTCTAATCACATCTAAGTTTCACACTAATAATATTTGCATTTGCAGCAGGAAGAAGATGAATGGAGCCCTGGACCATTCTGATCAACCAGACATTGATGCTATTAAGATGTTTGTAGGGCAAATCCCACGGTCTTGGTCAGAGGAGCAGCTTCATGACCTGTTTAATCCCTACGGAGCAATCTACGAGATTAATATTCTGCGAGACCGCAGCCAAAACCCACCAATGAGCAAAGGTTAGTATGTCCCATAAATCAACCATGCAAACACACACCCTTTGCCTTTGCAAAGATGGAAACAATAATCATGAATAAAAACGATTTTATATCTTATTCAGACACTGTGCCAATTTCAATTCAAACTTTTCATTTTCAAGCTTCCATCTGACCCAAAGGGTTTATAAACTCTTCACTTTTGATTCAGTAAATATAATTTATCAATAGGGCAGAGACAATAGGCCCCTCGAAAACTGAGAGACCTCCACCACTGGTAGAACAAAACCTAACAACGTGTTTCCTCATCTTTAAGGTCTGTCAGACAGGAAATGGATTCTTATGTTTCAATATTTTACTGCAACCTTGTAAAATGAATGGATACTTTTATATACGGATACTTTTATATAAGGAACAGGAAAATAGCCATATCAAGTTAAGATATCTAAACTTAAGTAGAAAAAAGTCAAGCTCTTTTAATCAAACAGAAATAGAAGCCTGCCTCTAATTCTGGCCTCCTTCCAATAATGACCTGGACCAAGATGTACCTGAGTGAAATAAAGGCCCCGGCCTATATTAGAGGATTTACGGTAATTGAGGTCAGGAAGATGTTTTACCAGTTTGTAAAAACCGAATCTGTGACGGAGGATTAGGGCCAGACTAGAGATTTTTTTTCTTCTTTTTTTAAGAATAAAGTCGTAACATTACGAGAATAAAGTTGTATTTTATGACAACTCCTACAAGAAGCCCTTTCTTCCCTAAAATGTTACAACTCGAAATGTTACAACTTTATTCTCGCAATGTTACGACTTTATTCTCGAAATGTTACGACTTTATTCTTGTAATGTTACGACTTTATTCTCGAAATGTTACGACTTTATTCTTGTAATGTTACGACTTTATTCTCATAATGTTACGACTTTATTCTCGCAATGTTACGACTTTATTCTCGAAATGTTACGATTTTATTCTCGTAATGTTACGATTTTATTCTCGAAATGTTACGACTTTATTCTCATAATGTTACGACTTTATTCTCGAAATGTTACGACTTTATTCTCATAATGTTACGACTTTATTCTCATAATGTTACAACTTTATTCTCGAAATGTTACGACTTTATTCTCATAATGTTACGACTTTATTCTCATAATGTTACGACTTTATTCTCGAAATGTTACGACTTTATTCTTGTAATGTTACGACTTTATTCTCATAATGTTACAACTTTATTCTCGCAATGTTACGACTTTATTCTCGAAATGTTACGATTTTATTCTCATAATGTTACGACTTTATTCTCGAAATGTTACGACTTTATTCTCATAATGTTACGACTTTATTCTCATAATGTTACAACTTTATTCTCGAAATGTTACGACTTTATTCTCATAATGTTACGACTTTATTCTCGAAATGTTACGACTTTATTCTCATAATGTTACGACTTTATTCTCATAATGTTACGGCTTTATTCTCATAATGTTATGACTTTATTCTCGTAATGTTATGACTTTATTCTTGTAATGTTACGACTTTATTCTCGAAATGTTACGACTTTTTTCTCATAATGTTATGACTTTATTCTCGTAATGTTACGACTTTATTCTCGAAATAGAAGAAAAAGAAATCTCTAACCTGACCCTAATACTCTTTCGTACTGAATCATATTATCTTGAAGTATAATATTTAGAGAACTATGAACACATACCTAAAACGTGGCAAAAATGTGAATCTGTTCAAAAATGTGTCATCTATTCTGTAAGAGGCTGGCCAGGGACCATTATAACAACACAGATTATAGTTATTGGAAAGATGGGGCTGTGATGAATCCAGTGATACCAAATCTGTTAATATAGAATGCACACTTAGTGTTTTACTTCCCTTAATAAATGAGGTGTCTTAAAGGAAAGAAAGAGAAAAATGGAACATACCATCTGACATCAGCGGGACAATAGCAGACAATGTGAAATTATTGTAGCTTTGGCTTGATGGTATTTTAATATAACTAATACACAACTTTGCAAGGTACAAATTGAATGACTGTTCAAAAACAAACAGATGCTCCTAAAAACCCAATACTCTGAGGAGCAGTGACACCTCATATCAAGCCCCCCAGCTCCTCTGCTGGTCTTCATAGGTGTCCCTATCAATCATCAAGAAGGTCACTTCTGGTAAATGTTTGTTTAATTATGACTGAGGGGTGATGAGTGTTCAGGGTGTGGGTTAAAGGGTATAACCACTCCAGACTGTGGTTCCAGATCCCCGAGATGTCCAAGGAGAGGCATGTGTTCTTGGTCTCTAAATGTTAAATAGTGTATATTAATTTTACAATGTTTGCAGTAAAAGTTTTTCATTCTAAGAATCCATTTAATTTCTGAGACACCTTAGAGATGAGGGAAAACCTTCTTAGTTTTTTTTCTATTTCTGCTGTCTCATAAAATAAAGTCCTTTTTGGATAGTTAGTCACTAGCAAATCGGCCCTCATTTCACAAGAAACAGGAACAAGTCGAATGTTTTCGAGGAGGAGTAGAAATCCCTTGTTGTTCACCTGGACAACAACCTGGACTGGAGACACAACTGGGAAGCCGTCTGCAAGAAGGGACAGAGCAGACTGGACTTCTAGAGGAAGCTGGGGTCCTTCAGATGCTGTGGAGAGTCTGATCCCATCATCATCATCATCATCATCATCATCAGAGCTAATGACTGAAGGAAGCTCAACCAGCTGATAAAGAAGGTCGGCTCTGTTCTAGGAACTCCTCTAGAACCTCTGGAGATGAAGAAGATGATGGACAGCAGTGAGCATCCTCTTCATCAGACTGTTAGACACCAACAGAGGGTCTTCAGTCAGAGGCCGATCCAGACAGACCTCTACAGAAGATCTGTCCTGCCTGCAGCATCAACACCTGTTTAGAAAATAACCCATGAGTTACTGCAACATTTCATTTCCCTACTATATATTTTTTCATTTGATAGTAAATGTAATATGGCAATTAGCTTAAAGCAGAAATCATGATGATCAGTTATATTGGCTTAATAGCATAATGAAATTAATCTACAGCTAAGTTAATGAAATAAGAATTATAACAATAATTAATGTTTCTGAATTTTTAACACGTTGTTTATTAATTGTTTGACAGGATGCTGTTTTATAACATACTATACACGCAAATCAGCTTTGGAGGCCCAGAATGCTCTTCACAACCTGAAGATTCTCCCCGGGGTACGTATTAGCCTCTTAGAGTGCTACCTTCACACTGAGAAGAAGCAGCAGGTTTACATCCAAAGTCTATGGTTGATGTGCATCAAGGTGCAACCAAAGGTCCTTCTCCTGAACAGCTGAAGCAGCGCCTCATGAGCTTCTGAGCATCTGAGGCGTGTGACGCGCTTCACAAGCAGACAAGCACACTGCCCCACCCTGATAAATTCCTTCCAAAATTACCAGTTGAGATATTAAAGGTACAATATGCAACCGGTATTGATTTTCCAGCGAGGCTCCCCCCAGAGGGCGAAAGTAAAAGTGCGCTGTCGTAAATATGCACAGCTGTTCTCCTGGTTTCTCCGTCAAGCCAGGCGCGGTTGTTTTGAGCTTAGCAGACAGGAGAACGCAACGAATGACTAAGCATCTGACGCGCCGCAAATGCGCTGCTGCTCGAGATGGAAAAATTGAATTTTTGCTGCTCGACGCGCCGCGTCAACCAATCAGAGAAGCTGATCTGGGAGCTGGCAGTGAGAGAGACACAGCGCTGATGATCAGGGCGCTATGATCACTCCTCTTAAACAGTTTATTGACGCCTAAATTAACTTAAAATGCAGAAATCTGCCGGCAGAATATGTTCGCTTTTATTATCCTGCTGCCTGCAGTTTGGATTATTTAGATGAAAAACACCTACCAGCTGCCGCGGTGAACCGCGAGGAGGCGACCCGGCCAGAGGCTGCTGATGAAGGGATTCCAACTGTCGGCGCACCGCTGGTATGTGGGGGTCTGAGCGGCTCCGACAGAAAAAATATTGTAAGGCAGGATGATAATCTGAATGAACTGACTGCACTGATTACGTTTTCAGGTGGATTTTCTCACTTAAAAACATATTAAAACTACTTTATTCACACTGATCACAGCAAATATAGCTGCAAGGCAGAGAAAGGATAGTGAAGCTCCGCCCAACGCGCGCCAGACACACTTTTGCACCGCGCAGCCAGAGCAGCAAAGCTGCTTCAGCCGCTCGTCAGAACTAACTGGTACAAGCAGCAAAAAGGAAGCAGCAGACGCGATTTTGCTGCTTTTGCTGCCTCCGGTGTGAAAGCAGCACTGCACAAAGATCGCCACTGTGCTAGCAACGAGCATGCTTTTAACTGGGGGGTGTAGCAGTTCTCGCCGTAAAGCAAGACCGACACTCGCGAGACTTCTGAGCCTGTGGGTGCGGGTCGGTGCTCCTGCAATTGCAAGTGCGGTATTTCCCCCACAGACCACCAGGGCGGCCGAGAATACCTTTGTTCAACCTGAAATGACTCATTTAATCATCCAAAACGTTATGGAACACATTAATTAACTGAAAAATGTTGCATAGTGTGCCTTTAATGAGTGTAAGAGCATATGTGTTTTAACAAACATGAACATTTTCAACATTGCAGCTATAAAAAATAAGACATTACCAACTTTAAAAATAAAAAGTTTCCTTATACACATTCTGAAGTAATCATTAATTCCTAGGTTTTAGAGTTTTAGTTCAGGGGAAAGTTTAACTCAACCCGAACTAAGTTTTTCTTTTATTTTTTGAGCATTAAATTGTACCTCCTATTTTTCATTTTTGCAAAGCGGTCAATCACTGTGACTCAGCTTAGAAAGTTCTTCCTTTTCAACTGATAAAATAACAAGATGATGGAGCCTGTCTTGTCCCATTGTGCACCTCAGCCAAGTGTGGAGCCTTCTCAACACACTGAATGACCTTTCACAACTTCAGCTTTTGATTGTGATTGTGAGGGAGATCTGGATGACCTGCGTTAGTGTGGGGAACATAGTGTTATCAAGCAAGTTGAAAAGACACTGCATATCCTTGATGACAAGGCTTTCTTTTTCAACCAGGAAAAGCTTTCAAACCATTTTGAACTAAATGAAAGTTTTTATTACTCCACATTTGTCCTGGGGATAGTGGGACAACTTCACTTGTTCAGGACCATCATGCTTTCCTCCTAAGTCCCTAATGTCCCCTTCTTGTTTGTGGAAGCTGGTTGTTGCATCCTCATCACCTTCATGGTCCTGTCTCTCCTGTCTTTCACCTGTCTCTTGCCTGTCAGTCTCGCCTCCTCCTCCCTTTCCTACTCCAGCACCTTCATTCTCATTCTCTATAGCAAACATTAAAAAACATAAATTTATAATTATGTAAATATCTATCATATTGCTTATAACGTCCCTAATGTAACTGCTTAGCTTAAATCACTAATTCATTACGGGACCTTACCTCCCTCTCTCTCATCTTGTTTTACTGCTTCCCTGTCTCTGCTTCGTGTGAGGAATTTCCTGATATCCATCTACAAACCAATGCAGTAATTTTCAGTTAGTAGCCTATAAATCATTAGCCTGGGTGCCAGTCAGAAGTTAGCCCCGCCCACAAGGTTTGAGTTCGGGGAAGTTCGGTCTGGCTCTGCTCCATAGTAGCGCGAGTATAATCGCCCACTGTCAGGCGATCCAATCAAATTGTCAGGGCGGACTTTATACGATGATGGACAGATGATCAAGAGTAACGTTATCAACCACGTGACCAAAGCGCGCTAGGGTGACAACAATAATGGCTTCCGCTGGAGAGTTTGGGTGAGTAGATTCTGCTATTAGGGCTGTTCTAGAAGATATCGACAGCAAATTAATTTTAAAAGAGGAACAGAGAAACGCGATCAAGGCTCATCTTATTCTAGGTGTGCAACTGCACGCTTTGATTTTTGTGGACAACAACTATGCCTCGCTTAACATACGTCACGCACTCCGTTGCTCTTATTGGTTGTAGGTCTATCCAATTGAGTGCAGAGGCATTGTTTTTCCTGGTTCGTTCGAAACACGCCCCATAATCACAGCTCTATGGAGCAGCATCAGACTCATATTCTGACTAGAATTGAGTCGGACTACGTCAGGCTAATAAATCATGTGGTTTCACTGGGAAAATAATAAAATTGACAGGTAAGAAACGTTACCAGAACTAAGAATGCGTCGGGGCCGCACAGTGTCCCATCCAACTCAGTTGAGAGCAGCGCGTTAATTTACCTGCAGTTCATGCAGTGACATGCGCTGACGTGGGGGCGCTAATACATCCTCAATTTGGAGTTAACAACACACTTGCTACGCATATGAGTAGAAATATACGTCTCTTCCCGTTATCTAAATTGATGCATTAAAAAAATGTATCACTGTTGCAAATATTCATGAGATCTATACTGGGGCACGTGCCCCAGTAAATGGGGTCTGGCGACGCCGATGCATTCACCCATTCACACACACACTCACACACTGATGGTGGCGAGCTACATTGTAGCCACAGCTGCCCTGGGGCGCACTGACAGAAGCGGGGCTGCCGTACACTGGCGCCACCGGGCCCTCTGACCATCATCAGTAGACAATGCAGGTGAAGTGTCTTGCCCAAGGACACAACGACACTGAAAGTCGGAGCCAGGGCTAGAGCCTTCAATCCTTTGATTTCAATTCTGTTGTTGCTGGACGCTGCAAATAAACCAATGAGAGAAGCTGATCTGGGAGCTGGCAGGGAGTCAGACACAGCACTGCTGATGCAGAGCGCTATGATCACTCCTCTGAAACAGTTTATTAACGCCTAAATTAACTACAAATGTAGAAACCTGCCGGCAGAATATGTTGGCTTTTATTATCCTGCTGCCTGCAATTTGTAGCACAGACCTGAAAAACGCTAACATCTACTTCCAGCCGCCACCAACAGTAGGGGAAAACCCCCAAGAGGCGAGCGGGCCTGAGGCAGCTGCTGCTGGGGATTCCAAGAGACAGCGCAGCGCCGGTATGTGGGGGTCTGAGCGGCTCCCACAGAGAAATAATCTTTGAAGGCAGGATGGTAATCTGGATTAACAGACCATGTTTTCAGGAGGACTTTCTCACTTCAACATAGATTCTAACTACTTTTTACCCGCTGATCACAGCTAATATAGAAAAGCTGCTCTCTGGCATTGAACACAGGAGCAGCAGAAGCATCAGACGCATCTGGACTCACTTTACTGGACCTCTGACATTAATGTGGATCAGAGATAAAGCAGCAGAAGCCTCTTTGCTGATGATATCGTGTTGTCTCTTGGATGTCTTGCTTCCCACACACTTAAAATCTACTTATATTAGATAGTTTGATTAATATGTATATGGTACTAGTTCAATCTGCAGCAACAAAGGCAGCTTTTGGTATTTTCCCTGTAAAAGAAAAAACATGTTAGCAGCTTAAAACAAAGAAAGGATATTGGTGATTACTGCCGTGGTGCTGCACAATGGCAGCCCACTGCTCCTCAAGGGAAGGGTTAAAGGAAGAGAGTGAATTTCATGTGCTGGTGACAGTGAAATGACAATAAAAGCTAGAAAAAAAACTGTCTAAAGATGTTTAGAAGTACAATTAACTTTATAAAACAATTTTATTACTTTGTACGCTTTGCCAAAACCGACCCTGAATAAATTAATTTTGTGCGAACAAACAGCGGGGGACGGAGCGACCAAACACCCCTCCCCTTTCAGAGACAGAATAATACTTGCAGCTTATGGTTGTGATGGCCTTACGGTGGGAACAGCTCCTCATTTCAGAAAAAGAAGTTCAGCAAATCCTGCTTTGAACTGACCAAGATTTTGAAAGCTGTCTTCGGTAAAATACTTCGAGCAAATGAACAGCTGAGCATCAACCTCTGCAGGGACCTTCTGATAGACAAAAATAATCCATGCCTGTCGGGTCTTTGGATCCTTGGGAAGACTGGGAAAATGTTCCCCTTTCTCCGTACAGCCTGGTACGCTGCATTTACGCCCATGGTTCTGGCTCATTTCAACTGAGAAACTGTAATTCTTGTAGAAGTAAACCCAACTGTATCTGGGATTCAGGAGGAGAAGTGTGGTTTTCGTTCAGGCTGTGGAACACTGGATCAGCTCTATACCCTCAGCAGGATCCTGGAGGGTGAATGGGAGTTTGCCCAACCAGTCTACATGTGTTTTGTGGATCTGGAGAAGGCAATTGACCGTGT